AAATATTGTACTATTCAGTTAACCGTGATAATCTGTAGTCAAGAATTTGGAACAAAATAACAAACTGGCGCCTGAAATAAAACCTTTTGCTAAACCAGCATGAACCGCAATACATTTTTTCCATCATAACCACCTGGTTTACGCACACTTCAAAAAATCCACGTTTCGTCTAAAAATACAACTTCTCGGGGATATGTACCTACTATTTCTGTTTTCCACATATTTGTGTAAGAAACACGCTCGTTGTGCTGCGATATAAGTTCGTTCAATTAGAGCTCTTCGATGATCACCTTTTTTAAATTTAAAGCCTAATTTTTTAATATTCTACTTAATGATGTTTTACTTGTAAAAACAATTTCTTTAACCTGCAGCTCATTGATCAACGCTTCACGGATTACATGTTTCTCTAAAAAGTTCTGAACAGAAAGTTGGTTTACTTACTATCCTGTTACATATTATATATTGTATTTCGAATTGCCATTTTATTGTTCTCAGGTAAATCAGTAGTTTTTCGTTTTTAAAATAGAATTGTTTTCTTTTCTTTTTCGTATATTGTATACTGTTTTCCTCGCCTTAAGTGTAGTCGCTACCCTTTAAAACAAAGTTAAAATATTATCAATATTTTTAATTGAAATTGAAAAAAAAAACAAAAATCAAAAGTTCCCAATTAAAAATATTTTGTTATGTAATAAAGTTGGCAAATATAATAATAATATATATGCTTGTTATCATTAAAACTTAATAATAGTGCACATTTGAAAATTGTACTTTTTGAGTATCTCTTGAATAGATGACAACGGTTCCAACGGTCCCCATTCCTTTTATTTAATTAAAAGTACTTAATTAAATTTAAAACGTGTTCTTGTGCTTGTGAGATAAGAGTTTTTCCAGTGATAGTCTAAAAAAATTCAATAAAATATTTTCTTTTTGTCATTTCTTTCACTTTTGCGGAAACTTAAACAAAACCATTCTCAACTGTGTGAACAAGGTTAACTTTGTATGTAAATTAATGGAAAAATAAAATACACTTACCATAAAATTTCAAACTTCAATATAAAATTATTTGTGAAAACAACTGTTTGTGTAATATAAATAACTTCTAAATGCAAAAATATGACAAAAAACAGCAAAAATTCAATAAACTGACAGCTACAAGTAAATAAACCAGAAACGTCAAAAATTGTACTTAAAATCTAAAAACGTCCCCAAGTTTTAACGCACGAGTAAAGAACCATGGACCCAACTGTATAGCAGATCTGACGAAGCTCTGGGGACTTACTGGGGACGTAATAGCTAATTGTAGAATCACAATAAGCAATTGTATGTAGTTGGTCGGATCTATAACAGACAATTGATAGAGAAGAAAAAAAATACCAAAGAAAAAATCTTTGTCAGTTTTTGTTTGATTTGAGGATTTACCAAAGGTAGAGGCACTCGAGAACACCTGCTGAATATAAGACAGATAATCGAGAAAACTAGGGAATTCAACATCCCACTATACATCTGTTTTGTAGATGACCGTAAAGCGTTCGACAGGGTCAAGTGGAGACACTTATGGCGAATACTAAAAGAAGTAGGCGTACCACAACATCTAATTACGCTTATAACTGAACTATATGAACACACTACTGGATCAGTTAAAGTACTTGACACACTTTCGAACGAGTTTCATCCAGAACGGGGTGTCAGACAAGGATGTATACTATCTCCACAATTATTCAACATATATGGAGAGTATATTATGCGAAGAGCACTTGAAGGATGGGAAAAGGGCATCTCAATAAATGGTCATAAACTAAACAACCTACGTTTCGCAGATGACACAGCCCTTCTTGCAAATAGTCAAGCAGAGCTGATGGAACTTATACGACTGATCGAAAACGAAAGTCAAATATTTGGTCTGCAATTAAACATATCAAAGACAAAGATCATGATAGTGGATAGACTACACAACAATCATCCACACATAACCACAATTGACCGGTTCGAGGTTGTGAGCTCATACTTATATCTGGGATCATTAATCACAAACACAGGGTCATTACAAGAAGAGATTAAACGTAGATGTGATCTAGCAAAAGTTGCCACAGCAAAAATGACCAAAATATGGAAGGAATGTCAAATTTCAAGAGCGATAAAGATGAGGTTGATCAACTGCTTAATATTCCCAATACTGACCTACGGATGTGAATCTTGGACTCTGAGACAATCGGAGAGAAGAAAGATAGACGCCACTGAAATGTTCTGTTGGAGACGAATGTTACGAATTCCTTGGACCGACCGTAGAACAAATAATTCAATTTTAAGAGAGCTAAAAGTTAGCCAACGACTCTCTAGTAAAGTCCATCTCCAACAATTAAAATATTTTGGGCATGTTATGAGAGCAAACACAGAAAACATGGAAAGACTCATAATACAAGGAAAGGTAGAAGGCCGAAGATCACGAGGAAGATCCCCAACAAGATGGATAGATCAAATTACAGGAATATGCCAAAGACCTATGCATGAATTAAAAGAAATGACCAGAGACAGAGATCTCTGGAGACGGACAATACACGACATCACGTCGACCACTACACTCCCCCTGGGGGGTCAGGATTGAAGAGAAAGAGTTTGATTTGAACCACTTTTGCCTGCTGCTGCTCACTTAGGTGACTGTTGATTTTATTTTGTTATGAAGTGGTAGACTCACGTATTAACTCTGCTACGTAGCAACATTAAATTCATATTTATTGCTGAAATTGCTGAAAAACGTCTAAAAATTATGGATAAAGTGCTTTTTGATAACTTTTATTCCTTTAATTTATTACGCAGTCTGAATTTATTATAGGTTAAAACCATTCAGTGTACTTTTTGCGTATTTTTGGGAGCAACTGTTAAATTTTGCCAACCAGAGCATTGATTATTATTTGTAACTGTACTACAATGTCTAAAACCAGCATGCCACCTCCTAACTGTTCGTTCTGAAAAACACTTTTATCAACATTTTTCCGACTAAATGCAATGCTTCGTTGTCAGATTACGCATGGTTGTCAGATGATGCATGAAGTTTGGTATGTTCTAATGTATATGGATTGGTTATAATTTCCGCCAATTATATATCAGATTTGGGACTTATTATAGTTACTTCGCCATAACCAAATGGAACATTAAGGTTTTGGCGCCAAGTGAAACCAACATAAAGACCTGCAGTTTATCTGTAAGGGTTTTTGTCACTTTCCAGGTTTCACATCGGTAGTGATTTTCGAGCGGCCCCGTATTCTATACTTTTAGTTAAGTACAACCCGACGTTCATTTTACACCCCTCGAGAGGGGATGCCGGTAGTTACGCTAAGGACGCTATTTTTAAAATTTATCGTTTACAAAATATTTTACATGTGCATTTTGTTTCAATACAATTTAGTTTAAGTGATTTGTTTTTTTTTGTATTATTACTCTACGTGAAATTCTAATAAGATTTAACTTACATCCTACACATGACATTTGACTGGAATATGCGGATCTTTGTCAAACAGGGTTGAGCATGCTAAATTCTTGTTGAGCTTTTCGTATCATCATACAAATATCGTAATCTGTACCTCCGCTCTGTTATGACACTTTCAAGATACGTAACATTTTCCACATTTTCAATCTGCATGTTCTTGGCAGTAAATAGCGTGTTGTCTCTTGCATTTTCTCTCATGGGATTGGTTTTACTAATATTTATTTTCAAACCCACTTTATTGACTTTACAACAATAATCTTAATCTTAATAACAATAGATAGATATCGTTGGCGTATTTCAGATTGTTTAGGCGTGTGGTTAACGTCCATTGTATCCCTTTTGTGTCGGAGTCTAGTTTGGAGATAACATAGTCTACTGCTATGTTAAAAAGAAACGGAGAAAGCACGCATGCCTGTCTGACTCCAGTAGGGATGTCAAATTCGTCGCATTCCATTGTGTGTCACGCTGCATTTGCCTCAGTGTACAGTGACTTTATAATGGAAATTATTTTATGCGGGATGTTTTTTAGCTCTAAAATTTTCCATAAAGCAGCATGAGATAAGGTGTCAAAGGTACGTTCAAAGTCATCAAAATCCATGTATAGGGGTGTGTTCCATTCAACCGATTGTTCCATTATTACCCTCACAGTATTAATGTGGTCTATGCAGGAGGATTCTGGCCTAAAGCCTGCTTGGCCAGCTCGAAATTCAATCTTGTTTGTTAATATTTTAAGTATGATGGTCGTGAAGATTTAATTTATTGCGGTAGGCAAGGTTACTCTTCTCCAATTTTTGCACAGTGTGAGGTTGCCCTTTTTTGGAAGCTTAATAATGTTACCCCTTTTCCAGTTCACTGGAATGCGGTTTGTATCCCATTTTAATACACTAAAGATATCAAAATCCAACAATTCCTATTCCAGTTTTACTAACCGGGCGATTTTGTTTTTGTTTTTTGGTATAACAAATTGGTCAAACTAAAAAAAAAACAGTTTTACACTGTTAGCATCAGATAGTTTGTTAAACAATGAACATACTCTCTTAACATTGCTCCGTTTATCAGAAATATCATACTTGGAAAAAATCCAACCCATACCATTGAATCATACGTAAAAAACTGTTGAACTAAAAGATTTTAAACAAATGCCTATTAGAAATCAAAAAACGACTTACTGTGGCATAGTCAAATTGTATTTGGCTCCAAATCATAATGCCTTCTTGTTATATTATTTATCACCAATCCCATGGCCGTATTTACTTGCCCATTCTGTACGTAGTGGGATGGGCGAATATGCTCCCAGTGTTTCTTAGTCGTCATCTCAGCAGTTTAAGTTGGAGGATACTAATAGCGCCAATGTCGCTTATTTGTTAAGCTTGGTCATGTTCTCCTCGAATTTCGGTCGAACGACGGCATCTATAACGCATAAAATGGGGTTGCTAGTTCGAATTATAAATATTTCAAATATTTTAAGTTGTCAAATTGCAACAATATATATACCTAATGTCTAAATTTGTTGCAGGTGACAAAACATTAATACAGTCTCTCGTTTTGGATGCTATGGTAACAGAAGGTTTAGAAAAACATCCAGTTAGGTCCGACAAGCAGTAAGTGTCGTAATTTTACAAATTTTATTATGCATGCTATGAAATTATTTAATTATTTTAATTTTTGCACCTTTTCAATAATTTAACTAATTAATTCTTTGCACATTAGCCCTATTGGCAACCTAATGGTACAGTGGTATGGTACAAGGTAAAGACTTTTTCTTGAGACAGAACTGTATTTTGCTTAGATGTGATTTAGATACCTAGAAAAGAGTTTGTTTAGACCCCTGCGATTGTGGTGTTTTAATGTTTATTATTTTGGAAAGATAAACATTCTGAAGTTTTTAGATTTGATAATATTTTAGCCTTTCCAAAATAGTCACCCCAAAAAGTGTTTGTTCTCCTTTTTATGATTTGAAAACAAATTATTTTAAGACATACTTACAAAACTATAAGTAATATTTATTTTGGATTTAAATAATTGGTATAACAGTATCACTTCGTCAGTTTTGACCATATTTCCAGTATCTGTTCCTATTTACCAATTATCTTTCCCTCCCTATTCCTGATGATTGATAATCTAGGCTAAAATAATACGTTACAAAGTTAGATAGGGAAACTAAATAACATAATAGATGGCCTTGAGAAAAGTCAAACTTTTACATAGAAGACTTTTCAACACGAAAACAGGGAAAGGCACGAGTCGGGATTTAATGAAAGAGCATAACCTTGCAGAAGGTAATGATCCTGCAGAAATTCTTTTAATTTTTGTCTGCAATGCGAAATAGGTAACTAATATCTGGTATAAATTGACAACAAGACGTCTATATAGCACTGAACGATAGAAGTACATACGTGATAAGACCAGATTTACTACATGTTAGGTAGATTACCAAGGTTATTGCTTACCTTGGAGCAGCATTTTATCATCTTATAATATTATCTACTCATTAGTCTTATCAGCTATATTTTTAATGTCTTTCTTTACCTTATACATGGCAGAATTAGAACGAAATCTAAGGAATAACCGACATATACAAAGGCACAAACGAAATTGGAATTTGGCGAAGAAGATACAACTTTGAACTATACAAGATATATCAGGATCCGGATATCGTAACACAACAATCATAAAGTGTCAAAAAATTTTTCTTTCTAGATCACATTCTTTGAGATAACCAGTATAGTAACAACTTATAATATAGGGCAGGATAGGAGAATGAAGCAAAACTGATAAAATACAAACATCAGAAAGAAAGTAAAAAAAAACAGAAACAAAAAGAATGGGGTACAGATTAATATAAGTAAAACTAAGTAACATAAGTAATTATGTAAGTAAGAACCCCCAAGATCTAGTGATCGGAATACGCTTATTCAAATATGTAGGATGTAGGAGAGTTCATATATCCAGATTTCATAAATAAACTGAAATAATACAGTAAGCGTATACCTTAACAGAAGAATAAATTTGGCAAATCAAACTTTTTTTACTAAAAAATCTTTTAATATGAAGCATAATCACAAAAAGGAACGAAACCACTGACATAACATTGATACAAAACTCTTAATTAAACCAAAAGTGTGCAAAACAGGGATGATGACGAAAAGTAGGGACAGTGCTTAATCTGCTTTAAAAATATGTGAGCGAATACAGGTTGTTTCAAAAAAACATAACATTGTCTCTAGAATAGGCAAAAAATTAAAAAAAAAAATTGGGGTTTGCATAGTAAAAACGCCATCCGTTTTCACAATAAAGGGATTTAAAGAAAAAAAAATATTACACTTTTTTTTATCATTTTGCCGAAACTGCTAGCCATATTGAAATGAACTTTTATACGAATATATTGTGGAAGCTGATGCATCCCATGAGTTTATTTTTATATCTTACTCATAGAGGCCGCTATTTATAAAATGTGTACCAAGTATTATTCAACCAATTTTTTTTAAGGGTGAAATTATTAATCAAAATTTTAAATTTTACACTAAAAAGGTACTCCTGGTAAAACTCGATGCTGTGTACGGTTTTCGAAATATTTTAATTTGAAAATTATGAAGTAATAACCGATACTGGTATAAAGTAATGATAAAGTTCTAATAGGTTTATCTCGATTTTCTCTAAATTTGCCATGGGATAAGATAAGACGAGTTGCCATGGCGATAAGTCAATAATAATTAGATTGTTGAAACATTGTTGTTTGTAAAATTAGATATTGTTAATTAAAATATACTCAAATGAGTCGACATTTCGACCCATCAGCCTACTCCTAACCGTAAGCAAAGTTTTTGAAAGATTGCTGCTACCAATGATATACGCAGATCATGAATTCATAATACATTACTTCCAGAACATCAGTTTGGTTTTCGGGAAAACCACTCCACTACCCAACAAGTCCATGGAATGATAAATGAAATATCAAAAAGTATTGAAAAAAATAATACTGCAGTGCTATATTTCTAGACATCTCACAAGCGCTTGACAAAGTCTGGTACAGAGGTCTGCTTAACAAAGTAAAAATAGCACTATCTAGTAACTATTTCCTCTTAATTATATCCTACATTTTAAATAGATATTTTCTCTGTAAAATTCAAAGACCAACAATCCAACCTCTGTTCTATCAACTCCGAAATCCCGCATGGTAGTGTTCTGGGGCCGCTGATTTTCTCCTTCTAAACAGCCGATATAGCAGAGACTAATAATACTACAATCGCTTTCTTTGCTGACGACGTAGCAATACTAGTTGTAAATGAAAATCCCATACAAGCCTCACAAAACCTGCAACATCATCCTGAACATACTCAGTGATTGGTATACGAAATGAAGAACAAAAGTAAATAAAACAAAATCAACTCAAATAACTTTTACCAACCGTCACAACATATGCCCACCTGTAAGAATGGAAAATGTAAGAATACCAACAGTAACAGACATTAGATACCTTGGTCTCCATCTTGACCAACGTCTCACTTGGAAGAAACATATCCAGACCAAAAGAAGGCAGCTCGACTTAAAATTCCGGCAAATGTATTCGCTCCTTGGACGTAAATCAAAACTTGATATCTAAAACAAAATTCTTCTATACAAAGCCATACTCATACCCATCTGGTTCTACGGACTACACCTATGGGGCTGTACAAATCCAATATTGTCAAAAGATTACAGTCTAAAGTGTTAATATCAATAGTGGATGCACCATGTGTAGTGATGGTAATATAATTCAAAGAGTGTCCAGTTTTACATATCTTGGTTGCCATATTACTGAACAACTAGATCCAGATCAAGAGATAAAATGTAGAATCGAGATAGCCCGCACGACATTTTTAAAAATGAGGTCATTCTTCTGTAATGATAACTTGAAACTTCAACTTCGAAAGCGTAAATGCTACATTTGGTCAGTCCTCTTATACGGTGTCGAAGCATGGACATTAAAAATATCCACCATTAATCGTCTGGAGGCCTTTTAAATGTGGCTGCACAGACGTATACTAAAAATTCTATGGACGGCTATGCTGACAAATGTGGCAGTCCTTGAGAGAGCAAATGCTGCTCGCGAGCTGCTTGATAACATCAAATGTAGAAAGATGGCCTATTTTGGACACGTAGTAAGGGGAGACCGATATAATATTCTTCAACTTTTTATGATGGGTAAAATCGAAGGATGCAGAGGAATTGGTAGAAAGCAGGCCTCTTGGTTGAAGAATATCAGAGAGTGGACAGGAATAAAGAAAGCTGAGCAACTCTTTAGAATAGCTCGAGACAGAGACAGTTTCGCCATGTTAATCGCCAACGTCAAGGGGACTTGATACGGCACGTTAAGAAGAAGAAGGATGCACCATGGTAAGTAAATAATCAATCACTACTCTACGACTTAAACATTCCTTTCATCAGAGAAGAAATCCATCGAGCCACGAAGTCATAACATGAACATACCATTCACCATAAAAATAAGCTAGTAAGGGAATTATTCAACAACGGTCCAGCCACATGAAAACTAGATAGAACCTGGCCCCAAGACCTACTTCAAAACTAAACCAAAATAGAATAAGGTGAGACATCATTGGATGTCTCTCCTTCACGCCCAAAACCTGTAACACATTTACTTAATATTATGTAATGATGTAGATTGTAAATAAACATAATTATATAAAAAATGAGTATATTAGGCGAGTGTTTAGGAAACGTTGTTGAGGAACTAGGAATTTTTTAAATATATATATATATATATATATTATATATATATATATATATATATATATATATATATATATATATATATATATTGTTATGATGTGTTGTTTCTGTATGAGCTATGAGTAAATTTGAATGATATATGTAAGTATAGGGTTTTTATCGCGGTTCTCAAAGAATTAGTTTGTAAGTACTTTTTTAAATTATCTTTATTATAACTATTATGAAACAAACATATCTATCTAATATAAGCAATATCAATTTAAAACAATCTATCTAAAATTTGAAATTCTTACAATTATTAAATTATTAACAAAATTTGGTACCTTTCTGTCACTGAACGCCTAAAGTTTTTCCAAAATTAAAGTTATTATCACCACTCGATATCTTCTTACTCAGCCTTGGTTATCCAACAATTTTAATATGTTTCTTCTTAATTATCTCCACTCACCATATAAATATATAAAGTTAAATTCTTGTAATTTCCATGTAATGTATTACTTTCAAATATACTGGATCTTGTGTTTGTACTATTGAATGCTTACTTCAATGAATTAACTTTATACTGTCACTATATTACTGTAGTAATAATTAATCTCCAACTGTATTAGACTTAATTAATTCATTTAACTTAATCAATGCCTTCTTCTAGCTAATAATCTCTTCATAACCTCATAAATTCTTGTTAATTCTTCTTTGTAATTAATAATCACATGTAACTGACTTAATTTCTTCTAACTAACTCACTTTAACTCAATTAATAATCTTCTTGTAACTAAATTTTCAGTCAGTAAAGTCTAACTTTACTAACTGATCTAACTGAACTAACTCGTTTAATAATCTGTAACTAACTAATTGCTCCCGCTCCAAATTA